GAAATTTAATAGAATTAAATAAGAAGTACGAAATGGATTATAGGTGAAAATAAAAGTAACATCAACAGGGGTAAAGCAGTTTCTCTAATTATGATCGAATTTATGAGTAAGTTAACCAAAACATGTCGGAAGGCAGAAGAAATTGTTGATAAATTGAGGCACATGTTGCTAAGAAAATGTTGCTCAACATCCTGGTGCCCCATAAATATCGGTATAAAATTTAATTTATATTTTTTAGCATTTCAAAAGTTATTTAAAGAGAGTTGCAAAATTCAATGGATATTTATGTTCAATAATTTTCCTTGCAGTGTTACCCTTTTTCCTTGCCGAATGCACTTTTTGCCAGACACATTTTTCCATTTGTGCTTTTTTTGTTGTGTCCGGCATTAGGTTTTCCAGTGGTATTGGTTTAGTGTTGGGCGTGTGCGGGTTTTTGATTTATAGTCTCGAATTGTGCGAGTTGCGTTTTTTATGTTAATTAAATTGCTGCGGCTCTCGGGATGAGCCTGGATGGGGTTGGATTCCTGCTAAAGTGCATGTTGGTCGATGCCTGACGAAGTGCACTTGGCCAACCCTTTAGCCAGGCGATCCAATCCCGTTTCCCGGGCCAAAAGCAACCGAAACACGAACCCACCGACCCACAGCTCTTTGAACTCTACTGGGCAAATGAACTGCAGCTCGCTTATTGTCACTAAATGCTGTTGACCCAGCAGGAAGGCTTGGCTTGGCTTCACTTCGTTTGGCTTTACTCTTGTCCTGTTCTGCTCCCGTTTCCTGTCCCGGCTCCCGGATCCCGGATCGGATCTGAGGAGGAGCTGTGGCAGTTATTAGAAATTCCATTATGCATGTGTATGGGACGCCTATGTGGGCTGTGTCAACACGGTCGGTTGGGATTCAGGACTCTAGACAGGTGGCTCGTCATCAGCATTACACTGGCAATAATAATTGCAAATTAAGGAAATTTAATTGACTCATAAAGCATTGGTAGTTGGAAGTTTACAATTACAAATTATTGCAATTTAAGTTGGTAAATTAAAACTGATGAGCAAAGTGGGAACTAGTGATGAGAGTGTTTAAAACATACTCCCATTCAAGTAATTTGTGCAATTCATGGAATTGAAATTTTGACATTATACAAATATTATTATTTTTGTCGAGTGGTTGCCTTGCCTGTTCAAGTCGTCTTCTCATTTTCAAAGACCTGCTGTTTCTGCTGAATGATAAATCTTTCAATGAGCTGCCGGCAAGGAACTGAGGACGTTGATAGGAAACCGAAACAGAAACAGAATCAGGAGCGTAGGACTAGAATAGCCTGGTAAACATGTCAGGAGCTACAGCGGGACTCAACAATTTCCATTTTCAATGGAAGCAGCAACAAAAGCCTATTAAATACCGAGACAATGCAACCCACACGTACGCTTGAATGCACATAGATATTACATGCCAGCTGCCCGATGTTTGTTTAAGCAAGCCCTCGTCCTCGCCCTCGCCCCCGAAACTCCTCCCCCGATATGGAAAGCGACTCTGCAAATTATAATGCTGCCATATTCATATTGGGCTGCTCTGCTCTTGTTTGGCAGCTTGTTTGCCTTCCATGGCATTCACAATTTCGGGATTCAGAGTTCAGAATTCAGGAATCAGCACTCAGGAATTCGCATGAGAACGCAGCCTTTAGGCTGGAATTTCGAAAATCCCCACCACGCATTGAACACCGTTTAGGCCAGGCAACCAAATGGAATCAATCAGTTGCAAACTAAAACTATAGAAAAAGTATATTAAAACAAACTGAAATATACTTTCAAGGATTTTGATTTTCTCTTCTCATAAAATATTATCAGATTTTGTGTTTATAGTTCAATAAATATGGTTATATTTTATGTTTATATTTTTGTAAGCACACAAATTTCTGATTTTAAATATTTCTAAAGGAAAAGATAACGATTTATATATTTGATTGCTATATACTTTAATAGTATTTCTTTTCATTATCGATCAGTTTCAATTTTAAGATAAATATCGAGTTAGTTTTATATTACTTGCCGTTTTTATTGAATCAAATATTTTTCAAAACTCTGAGGAAACTGTAGAGAATGGCAAGTCCCCGGGAGAGGCTTCAAAAAGTGGCAACTAACTTCTCAATTTTGACATCACTTGCGGTTTCATCGCACCTGACACCCACCAGACCACCAATCCTAACCAATGACGCACTCTGGTCGGATGCCAGATTGGAAAACAATAAACCAAAAAGGAAGAAAAAAAAACAGGATGCTGCGGGGAAAATGCGGTGAAAAGAGCGTGAAAAGTGTTTACTCTCCCGGCAGATGGCAGGGAATTTCTCACAACGTCCAGGGAGCACGACAAAGAAAATGGAAACAAACAAGGGCCGGCTGCATTGATATTTAGCAGGCAGGCGGAGGCAGGCAGTCAGCAAAATCCCCTCTCCAGATCCTGTAGAAATCCTGACAAAAAAAAGGAACTAACAACAACAGCAGCAGCATGAAATGAAGAGGGCCAGGTGGGTCCTATTTCTGGGTTTTCGCTTTGGTGACTGCCATGTAAACAAATCGCAAAAGGATAAGGACAAGGCACTTGTAAGCTGGCACTTAGCAAAATCGAACAAATATGTGACTTTTGCGCAAACTTTTTACCTTTCCAACTATATGCCACAACGAGTGCGAGTGCAAGGTGTGTGTGTGGTGTGTGTGTGTGTGTGGATTTATAGACATTGTTTGGCTGCTCTTTGTTGCTTTTCCTGGGGAAGTTGTGCACCCGGCTGTGTGCTATGATTTCTTACTGCTGCACTTTCCACCTAAACACTAACAAGCAAAGTTTTCCCAGCAATAAGCAAGTATTTGCGGTTGCATTTCGCTGCTCCTGCTCCTGCTCCTGATGCTTCTGCTGCTGCTGCTCGGAAAACTCTCAGCGGGCGGGCCCCGGCAACTACACTTTCCAATTTTCAATTGGCAAACAAGCGGAATTTTCGATTTCAGTGTGCAAATATTTATGCGGCTAGCAAGGACTTTAAGGCACTGCTTAAGTTAAGTTGTGCCCCGCCAGCCAGGTGTATATTCAGTAAAAAAGGAATATGTTTCAAACACTAACAATTTAATTAGGAATTCTTAAAATATATCAAGTTCTAAAGGTAATTTTAACATACAAAATCTCAGTCTTTTTCAAGTGTTTAAATTCCTACAAGGTACTCCTAGTCTTATCTTAGAACACTGGCTTGAATATATTTTTTGTAATTTCTTGTTTGCTCGTTGTCCCTGGCCAGGACACACAGGCAGTTGGCCAATTATGCTGGCAGGCATCGCTGGTCATTAAGGTCAATGTGCAGGAATTCATTTTACAGCCTGCAAATGGAGTAAATGTTAAAGGGCACCTCAACAGCAGCGGCATTGGCATAATGAAAATCATGCCAATTTTCCATGGCATTTTCCAGGGAGTAAGTAGTCGCCGTCGAAGATATCGCCTGATATGCAAACAACTCCCGAAGGTAATGAATTACGCACAGCTGGCATGTAGGGAGAGAGGAACAAAAAATGAAAACAATTTTATTTTATTCGCCTCGCGAGAGATTTACAAGGAACCGAATCCTTGCCCGGCCTCACATTCCACAGAGCTCCTCCGCTCGGGTACAAAAGGGACGCTGCGCTGCTCTGGGAAAGCCGCAAATTATGTGCCATTATTCTTAAGGGCACAGCCGCATGAAATGTGACCCAAATAAGATATAAAAAATTTTTGAGTGCCTTGTTAGGCTATGTTGGCTTGTAAAACACCCAAACTCCAAAAGGGCGAGGGACAGGACTAAGCTCCGGGCGGTGTGTGTATGTGTGTGTGAGAGCGAGAGGCAGTTACCGGGCTGGCGCCTTGAATTATGCTACGCATTTGTTGACAAACGACTCTGAAATGGGCGGTCATAAAGTTGCCGGAAATTGGCGTTGATTGTTTGGTAATTAATAAAACTTGGCGAGCAAACAGGGGAAGATTGCCTAAGAAAGTGAAGGTCGCTCTAGGCTGGCGACCTCGAATCCATAAATCCTGGCCACCGTTTTGCCTAAATATTAAAGCAGCATTAAAATGTCGTTTTAGTTTTGGCCTAAATCATCATCAGTGCTTACCAGCGAAATTCAGTTATGAATGGTGTTTATTTGGGCTTTGGGCTTACAGGCAACCAGCAGTTTTTATCATAATATTTTCGATGCAGTGCTATTCGTTTGCATAACTGCCCCTACAAAATCCCACCGTAATCTATCAAGCTTTCCCATGGTTGAAAAAACATTTATAAATCATTTAAGCACCAAATATGACAATCATTCGATGAGAAACATGAACAAAAACACTGTAGCTAAATACTTAATAGAACACCGACAATTTTATTACCCTTAAGGGTTATCCTTTATTTTTCTACTTTCTTTAAAAGCTGGCATTAATGATAGCCAAATATACTTATATTATTCCTTAAAATTATATTATTCCTTAATCAAATTCATAAAAAAACAAGTAAAGAATAGATTGAAAAGCTAATAAGAACATAAAGGCAAATTTTATTAGTTTGTTATTGCTGCCAGTAAATAATATATCCTTCCTATAAGATAGCAATCATGTATAATTTTTTAGTCACATTAAAGGTATATAAAATATATATTTAAGGTGTAAAACAAAGGAAAATTTATGGAAATCGTAGATACCCAAGATGGGGGAAGGGTATTGTTTAAAAAAAGTATACCAGCCAAATTGAGTTTTCAGCATATTTGTGTGGCGTTTTAAGCATTTGAAACCCAAACCGACGACAAAAACAAACTGAAGCGTCCGAAAGCAAGCAATTGCGGTGCAGTTAAGCGGCGGATTATATGTTATCAGTGTCGCCACCGCCACCGCCACCACCGACTGCTCTCGGACAATATTTCAATAATTTATTAAAATAAATACACTAAATTGGTATCCCCCGGCTTTGCATTCGCATTTAATTCCATCACCGATTTTCCCCCATTTTTCAGAACTCGTTGAGTGCGCGCTGCGCAATGTCAATTTAATCATCGAGCCACCGGCGGTGCGGCGGGGTCAGCATGTGGTGCTCAAATGCATGTACGACCTGGAGGGGGCACCACTATACTCGGCCAAGTTCTATCGTGGCCAGCTGGAGTTCTACCGCTACACGCCCGGAGAGTTTCCCAACACGAAGGTCTTTCCATTTCCCGGCATTCATGTGGATGTAAGTATGCGAAAATAATATATATTTATAAGTTAAGAGATTTAGCAGAAGATATAGATTATTCTGATTGAATATATAATTGATCGTGCAATATGGACTTAAAGATTTAAGAAACAAAATATCAATCTGAGTGAAGAATTATTACGAAATAAAGATTGTCCCTTAATATAGAAATATAAGGACTAGATTTATCATATAATGAAGTATTTCTTATCCTCTGTTACTTTATAAAATTCATTAAAATTAAGTTTCATACAATTTAAAATCATTATATTTGGATAGCAAGAGTAACCCTTCCTCCCAAGAGTATTCCAATTTAAAATACAAGTAAATGAGCTGAAATTCGGTTTCAAAGACATTTTGAGGTTTTATTTTACTTTATTTTGGGGATGGGTTCAGAAAGGACCCGAAACCGGACCGAACCTCACTTTGATGTCCTTAATTGCGCGCACACTGCATTTATTTATATTGTATATTTTAAACTTTCCGCTCATGCATATTCAGTTTGGCAGTTTTATTGTTATTGGCGGTTATTCAAAAATGCCAGGAGACACCTGGCCGCCGGAGTGCCGGACTCCCGGAATGCCGGCTTTTGTGGGCGCTATCAACGCGCGGCTATCTGCGGCAAAAATTTTCATTTAAATTTTTGCCTGCTGCGTCTGAGTTTTGTCGCCCACCTGCAAAAACTGCAATCTGCAATCTGCGAGGACCGAGGACTATGGAGTCCCGAGTGCGGAGTGCGGAGTGGGAGTGGGATGCCTCCTCCTGAGGTCGGAGAATTGAGTCTCGGCTGGGGTAATTTTACTTTGGCTAGATTATTGAAAAAGTTTACCCAGCCGGCGGGCGGTGCTGAGGCGGCAAGGAAGAGGTCCTTGCAATTTCGTTGCTTCGATAAAGTTGCTCCGAATCTGGCTAAATATTTCATCAGGCTATTGAGTTTGTGCCAGCGAGTTTATCTTTAGTTTTTTTTTGTGCTCCCTCCTCTCGCTCCTATTTTCATTTTATTTTTTGTTATTTTTTGTTTTGTCGTGGAAAACTTTTACTTTACCTAGCTAAAGGCAGTTTTTCCTTGTCGCTCTGCTCTGCTCTGTTGGCTGCTGGCAGTGCTTGTATTTGTTTGTTTTTAAGCTGTTTTAATAAATTTAAGTGCATTTCTTTGTTGGACTCGATGTCAGATTGCGGACAACTGAGCGATGGCAGGTGTGAGATACTCGATTTATAGTTTTTTGTTTTTGTTTCCAATGGGCATTAATAGTTTTTGGGGAAATGCAAAGTAAATATACAAGTAAAAAGCCATCGAAATGTGAGTTTAACTTTAAGTGTGTCTCCATTTCTCTGAAAGTATCATCCGATAGTTAAGTACTGTATCTGTTCTTGTGCTCAACAGGTATCCAGTTCGAATGCCACCCAGGTACTCTTACGCAACGTTGGATTCGGTCTCTCTGGCAACTTTTCATGCGAAGTGACCGCCGATGCCCCGCTCTTCTCGACAGCCACCGCCGTGGACACCATGCAAGTTGTTGGTAAGTCTCAGTCTGAGTTCCATATCCCAAATGCTATGTTCTGAGTCCGTTTCCTAAGCTGATTCATCCAAATTGGCCTAAAGTGCGCTTAAAAGCTTCCACGGAACCCGAGTGAAAGAGTGAGTGAGTGTATCAGCTATCGGACAGCCTTTGACATTGCTCTCCTTTGATCACCGGACAGCGTCCCGTGGCTAAATTCTCTGGCTCTGGGAGCAGGGAAAGTTTTTTGCTTCTTTGGCAATTTTTTTGCCGGGCCAAGGTCACAGCAGCTGTTTCTGCTGGTTGCCAAAGTTTTGCGCTGAAAATTGCGTCATTAACAGCCCATTTCGTCTTTTGGCCAGATAAGCGGGCGCTGCCGCACCAAGGGGGTTGGCTTAGAGTGGATCTGGGCCTGAACCCATCCCCATGTCTGGGGTCATTTGGCAGTCTTACCTGTGCCCCACGCATTTCACGGCTTTATGCGTTTTAAATGAGCGTGGTGCGGCGCGCTCTGAATTACGAATTTAATCAGCGAGGCAGGGTCATGAAATCCAATGGGCACCAGTCCGTTACGGCTTAGCAATTATTTGGCTCAAGCTTAAAGAGCAGAAAGCTCTTTAAATTTGGTTGATACAAATATTAGTAATTTAAGACTTGAATTGGAAATGAATTCTAGCCACAAGTGCTGCAGCATATGGGGCGTATGCGTAATGTGGCCTGAATCGATGGCAAAGTTAATCTTTCTATCCAGCCTCGGCCTCAAGCATTCGAGAAATGCGCTTCGACAGCTAAATTCTGCTTTATACGCTGATTTTTATGCCACTTTCTGGGCAGGATTTATCCCCTATTTCCCGCGATTTCCACCGCACTCCATCTGCAATCCCTTCGACTGGCTGCGGGAAAGCCCGCTGTGTGTGCGTGTGTTTGATTGAGAGCTCGTCTGGGTCAATGGCTCACTGGCTCACTGACTGCTTGTTGCCCAGCATTAAACATTCAGATGTCTGCCCTTCTGGCCTACACAGGAATAAATACAGTTGGATCGATCTAAGTACTTTTCAAGCATACATTTGAAAAATGCTAAGTGCCAAAAAGGACTTACTTGGTATACTTTTGCTTTCGGTGTAGCCTTTATTAGATTGGCATCGCTCTCGCTTTCGCCTTGCCACCCGCCGCCAGTTGACTTCTTTATACATATATTTAACGCCGCATTTAGCCCATTTAATTGGCCGCTTTCGCGTAACTAGCATCTGGGGATTAAAGCCTTTGATCGTGTATTTGCTTTAAATTCATGAGGCCAGAACAGGTCAGGCCGTCAAGGACGCGCCGCTCGACTTATTAAAGTTTCATTAATAGCTGCGCCACTTAATTGGCTGCTCCGGCTATGGCTCTATGGCCTTGGGTACCTCGGCTCGTTCCTCGTTCCTTGGTCCCTGGTCCTTGGGCCTTGGTCCTTGGGACATACATCAATGCTGTTTCGGATAAGCCAGTTGGGAACTGACACACTGACAGCCGCCTCAAATCTCGGGCTTTGTGGGTTACTCGCCGCGCCCTGTATCCTGCGGCTTGCCGGCTTGGTTTCGGCGTTCGGGCGCTTTGGGCCTGGGTGCCCGGGCTTAGGCCTAATGTCGTCGACACTAAAACCCCAATAACTTGCCGGCTAAACAATAAATTACTGCTACCACCAGCTGGCAGAAGCCGTAACCGACACCATATTGTATTTTGGCACAGCGGAAAGAATATACTGAAATTAGTGTCATATTGGGATGCCAATTTTGTCTGTATTCATGTAAATAATAAGTTACACTGGCATCAAAAGGTTTTATATGTAGTACTTAATTAAATTCGATTCGGGTTATATTTGACATTTTTACCTTAATCCTTGAGCTTTAAAAGTCCAATTACAGTTAAATACACATAGGTGTATTTTTATGATATAACTTTTACTTTCATTTGACTTGGTATGATTTTTTCCTACACTTTCGTTGAGCATCTGAAAAAGTCCTTGCTGGCCATCTCATCTGCGTAAACTCTCGCTTTAATTTCATCGATTCCCCGCATAGTTTTTCGCAGCCTGATGTTTTATGCATCGAGTCAGTCAGTCAGTGTTAGTTGTGCGCACTCATTCGCTTATGCAGCCGCCGCGGCGTCCTCGGTGTAAATAACTCTGAGGTTTAATCGTGTGTTAATGAGCTCAAGTGGCAATCAGATTGCGGCCCAAGGATCCTGAAAGGAGCCCGCTGAAAGGAGGCTGCCAGCGTCTCGGCGTCTGCGTGGCACATAAAATAAACACTTTGTCCTTGCGGGGCGGGCCATTCAAGGCGCTCAGACGGTGGCAAGGTTATTACGGCACTGACACTGGCAAGTGGTAGTAAGCAAAGGCTGCTGGTTCTGGCCCCCAAAATTATGCTAATTCGGGCTTTCATTAAGTCACAGCCCCTTTGCTGCCACGTCCCCCTATCATCGTCGGCTGGTAGAAGTCAAAAGTTTATAGTTGGCAAACATTTGGGCAGCCTTAAGTTTAATAACTTAATGACACGAGTCGAAGCTAAAACCAAGTGCAAAGTAGGCTGGTCAGCTGCTAAATTTAACCCAACATTTTGCTGCCTTACAGTGGTTTAACGGCTTTAAATCTGAGATAAAAATTCAAGAAAAATTGTAGTTCATATTTTATGATTTGTAGTTTGAAAAACAAGAAGTTGTAGCCAATTTTTTTTTTGAAATAAGTCTTTAAGTTTACTTGATTGTCGATACCCTACCGAAAACTTCCTCTTTTATTTGTGGCTTTTTTCGGGTATTTAGTCCAGTGTGCTCTTGGAGACTGACCCTCATTAGGGGGAATTGGACGGCAGAGACTCCAGGCCAAACGGCAAAGGAATGGCAAAGCCGTCCAAGAAGCATTCGAAGCTGGCCCGCAAAAAGGTCAAAATCTGCAAGGCAAAAAGCGCAGGCGGCGGAAAGCTGAGGTCTCGGTCCGGGTCCGGGGATTGGGGATTAGAAAGCGGCCAGGACACAGAAAGTCGCCCTGGGCGACTCGGGAAAAAGAGCAAAGTTGCCGCCGCCTTTGTCATGGAAATTACTTTCTTCATTAGTTACTTTGTTGCTTTCATCGGGTCCTGTGGCACATAGTAGTGGCTCTGGCTGTTGTTCAGGCCGGCTCCGCCTTGGTTGACTTAATTAAAAAGTTAAGCGTGGCGAGAGAGCGAGCAGGATCTTCGTCCTGTGGTTGTGATTGAAGGGTTCTCCGGGTTTCCGCCTTCACTTATGCGCCTATTAATGTGTCTTGTGTCAGGAGGTCCTGCTAATTGAATTGTCCCGGGCTAAACCTCTTGCCATTTTCTAGGGAAGGAATGCCCAAAGGCTTTTTTTATTATTTTGACTATAAAATATCATCCCGATATCCTTGACATATTTTATTTTCCGCCTTTTTTGCAGAGTTGCCCGACAAGCGTCCTGTGCTGCTGACGGAGCATACGCGCTACGAGCCCGGCGATGTCCTGCGTGCCAACTGCAGCACTCCACCCTCGCGACCGCGATCCGAGCTAACGTTCACAATCAACAACATGGTGGTGAGTCCCATATATATTTTTGTATATGTACATCTTTCTGTTTTCAACTCTGGCTCCACAATCATTCCAATGAAATATTACCGACCTGCCGGACGACGACGGTCTGCTTCAATTTATTTTATGTTTTCGAGGCGACTGGAAAACAAATCTGACAGCGGGTCAGCGGCTATTTTGTGTGTTCAAAGTCCGCCGGATCCTTTGAAGTGCTTGCTTGTCTATTCTGCTGAGAAATGAACACGAAAATGGGCTAGGACAAGACTTTAATCAAAAGGGTTCTGGCTTCGTTTTCACCCTTTTTTGTTTCTGCTTCTCGTTTCTTATACGTATATATTTTTTTTCTTGTTTTTCGCCACCATTGCGCCTTGGGGGCTCGTCCATCCGTCAACGTGGCGTATGCGCAATTTCACAGCCTGCCAGCGAGCGTGCAGGGATTGTCATGTGTATTAACAATGCATATGAGGCGACCGAATGGGGAAGGATGTGTGGAAATAAGGCTAAAGAGGGAGGAGAGTCCGCCGCATCTGTGGCCGGAATGCTTTGTCATTTAGTTACTCTGGAATTCAGATTTCTATGCGGTGGCAAGCCAGATCCTTTTATCCAGAGTGCTGACAGTGCTGCCGAAATGTCAGATCTGGAAATATGTTTGAATCTAGTTAAAAGTAAAAAAAAAAAAAAATAAATATGCATTCGGGTTTCCTCTCTCTTACACATGAGTTTTATCAGTTCAATGAATTATTTACTCTTAACAATATATAAAATATCTCAGATCTCAACAATAAAGATGGAAATCATGTGCCGCAGCTGTGTTCTGTAGGTTTTGCCAACTCTCTGACTGTCAGTCCATGTGGATTCTCACTTCTGGTTACTGTCGTCATGCTGACATTGTTGTCCTGTGAGCGAATTTTTTCTCCATTGCAATTTTATGAATATGCATGCCACATGCTCACCCATCTTCACAGTGCACAGTATCTCCCCTTCTTATAATTTTGACCCAGGCCCCGATGTCAAGAGCAGTTCAGGTTCAGATTCGGTCAAGGCGAGGCTAGGCTCCTCTGTTCCGCTCTATTTGCGGTTGAAAAGGGTTCGTGTCTGCGCCAGGGACACTCGAAAAGGGAGGAGTCCTTTCAACCTGCATCCTGCATCCAGTATTCACGTGCCTAACAGGTTGCACAAGTTTTTCCCACTCTGCATTCAGCATTCGGTATTCGGCGATAACCGCATTAAGTTCCCATCTGATTTTCAAGCTGATTTCCATGCCAAGGATGCTGCCAGGCAGAGCGGTAAAGGCCAGGGATTTAGTGTAAGAGGAATGCATAATTTTCCAACACAAAAGATTCCAATTGGTTTGCGGTTGGGAAGATATTATGCGGGAGCCCGACCAAGATTTCCCAATGTATATGTGGACAGCACCAGATCTAAAAATTCATATTGTTATCAACCGAGAAAGGTCTTGTCCCGTAAAAACTTGACTTTATTCTTTCAGAAGTTGGAAGTCAGAGAAGGATTTATGTTAAGAATTAAATGATGTGAGGTTATTTTGGTACTTTCATTCATTCGGCTTCATTGCCATATTTCTTCTTTTCTTTTTCGTCATATACAAATATTTCCAAGGACTTGAGAATGGCTAACTCTAAGCTTTTAATCGAACTATGTTCCTAAATCTCGAATGCTGATTTCATTAGTCAAATCCCCTTAAAGGAAGTGCTCTCTATTAGCCTTTAAAGGCAGAAGTTCGAGAGCGTTGTCAGGGCCGTTGAAAAATGGCTGCCACATTCCAGAAGCGCACTTGCCAAGCTCGCATTAAACATGATAAATGAATTCAAATCATTTGCACCGCAATAACTCGCAACCGGAACGAGGAGGGGGAATTTTCGAAGCGAATATTCAAAGGGGTTGTGTTGCCTGGAAATGAAATGATAGCTTATCGGCCATGCCTCTCGAAATGCCACCGATGCTCTGCGGTATGGGTTTTAGGAGAGGCGGAACTCCTGGCTCCTCCTGGCCTCGGCGCCAGGGGGCTAATGGTGGCCCAAAGGAGCTGCAAGGACATCGAGAACTTTTGGCAATGGCAACCAATGGCAGCCAGACAACAAACAGTAAGCAAACGTGGCAGACATTGACTAAAATTGAGTAGAAAACGATACCGCAGGAGGAAGATATATTACAATTGCCGATCACAGGAAACAAATGAATATTTCATGCTGTGCAAATCAACAAGGGCTGGGAAACACACTTGCACACCCCTAGGACACACACACACACCAGCACCCACACACACGCACAACCAGGCACCTCTGACATTTTCAGCAAAGTTTACGTTAAAAGGTGCGCCGGCAAGGAGCCACAACTTTCTGTTGACAAAAGTTTTTGCGGTAAAATGCCACAGGAGTAATTTGCAAGAGGCCCGGACATCCCACACTTGCAACCCCAGAAAAATCGTCCTTACACACGAAACAGCAGCGGTCAAAATGGTAGGCTTGGAAGAAATGTGAAAGCTATAAGTTTGGTAGGAATATTACATTAGATTTTGGTAAGCGAATGAAGTAACATTATCTTGGGATGTGTGTAAATGTTATATATTTTTCAATAAATAAGTATATATACAATGTATTCTAATAACCATAAGATATATTTAAACGCTTTACGAAATGGTACTCTTAACTCGGTCTACTTTTATGCCCTGAGCTGTGTCTCAACTTCCGCTCCCCTGGTGACATATGTGCCTTCGGTTTGAGACTGCTGCTGCTGTGGCGGCTCCATTTCGGGTTTCTGGCTGCTTCCGCCGCCCTGGGACCCGGGCATTAATCATTCGGCATGTAAATTGCCAATTAATAACTGCTGCATGTCATTTGGCGTCGACTTAAAAATGCTACGCAGAATTTGCCATCATCGGGGTTGAACGAACCAAAGGCCGAATGAACGGTCGCCTGGCCAACGGAACTCATCCAGGGGATGGCTCTTGCCAAACTTCTAGGCGCATTCGCATTAATGAAGACAAATAGCACTTGAGCCCTGCCAAATTTAGCGGAAAATTGAAAAAAGCTTCGCAGCCATAGCAGTTGGCAGCCCTTAGTGCCATAGTTCTCTCTATACCTACAAGTATTCTTGGCAGCAGTAAGCCAGTTACCAGCTCACAGCTCACAGTTACCAGCTACCAGCTACCAGTTACCAATCGCAGTAACGGCCCGAAAGATATTGCAGTGCTATCCACAATTTATTTGTTATTGATACGCTTGCAATGCATTGTGCACACAAACACTTGCACGAACGACAAATTGTGCAGTTCGAGTCTGTGTATTGGATGATATATAAAATATATTTATTGTATTTTTCCCAAGTCTGGGAGGGACAAGAAAAGGAGTCGTCGCCAGCGCATGGAAATTTATGCCTGCAGTCAAAGTGTCACTGAGAAATGAAATTGGTAGAAACCCAAATTCCAGGTCTTATTTTACGTTACAATATATATATATATATATGTATTGTATACAAGTATTTCTTACTAAAACTTGTAAGTAACATACGAGTTTTAATTAACTATGATTGATTGTGAAGTCAAAAGGGTTAAAAGCCCAAGTCCATATGTCCTTTTAGTTCAAATATAAATCTCAAATATTTATGTTTAAAATCTTTAAGGTCTGAATAATAACTCAAGTTTTAAACACAAATTTCTCACTTTAAAGAAGTGATTTTGTTTACATTACTTTCTGAAATAAGTCTTTAACAAACCTGGTTAATTTTGACTAATGCCTTTTACCACTTCAACTTGATAATTTAGTCTTAGCCGAGAAATATTCTATTAAGAAAGCAAAAGCTAAATTTTGTTTAGTGATTTAAGAGCTATTAAAACTTCTCCAAAAATGTAAAAAATAAAGAACCGAAAAATGTGAAAATGGTCTCATATCTAAGATATAAATAAATATAGCAGGAAGGGGATTACTTGTATGATTTTCGGTAGAGAAACCCGGACGATCCTCCTATAAAGTAGTTTTATTTCCGGCTTATCTTGGACCCACTCTCCAGTAGATAGAACATTTTCCGAAAAACTCCAAGCTGCAACATGAGATGCAGCCTTGGCTGAAATTCACACATAAGTTCGAGGCCTGAATTCTTCAGAGAGACCAAGGACACTGGCAAATATCAAAACTATATATATATATATATATATATATGTATATGTATAATTCCCCATGTTTGCACAAGGCTCAGAAAAATAAAGAAAAACTGGCAAGAAAAATACGGAAATGGAGGGAGAACTTTGCTGCTTAAACATCTGCTTTTTGGCACATGCACATGCGTATGGGGAAAAATTATTTATCAAAGCGCAAATCCTTTCGCATACACACAGGCAAACACGGACTCTGAAAAAGGAGAAAGAGACTCAGAGATGGCGACTGGCAGATTTTCCTATGGCAACAATTTTACAGTGAATTGCACTAAATAACTGCCATTAAGCATAAAAGCTGTTCTCGCATGAAGGAGCTGCTGGCAGCATTTAAGCCAAATGCAAGTTTAAGCATCTTGGAGCTGGCGCAAATAAAGTGGACTTACGCAGCGAGGACATGGACGTGGACCGGGATCGGGATATATATACAGATACAGATGCGGATGTGGACCAATACAGAAGCAGAAATGGTGCATAAGAAACAGAGCTCGAAAATGCTTTGAAAAGCTGGCAAAAGCCTGCAGAGAACTGGCTAAAACTTTCGTCAAATGCGTCGCAGTCTTGGCCCTCTTCGTTTTTTTACTTTAGTTGGTGGTGCTGGCCATGTCCAGTGCCTCGCTCTGTCCCCTGTCCAATGTCCTTGCATGTCCTTCTCCCCGACGTCGCAGCCACTAATGTGTGCAATTGTGTGGGGCTTCCTGGTTGCCTTTTTTTTATTACAGGGTATTTGGCGCGGGCAAGGGTATACTGTTTTTTTTGCACATTAAGATGAGAGAGAGAGATTAATATTTATAGAGGTTTCTATAATTAATTCTGTGGTTTTAAATTATCGAAGATTATTATTGGAATAATTGTTGTATATGTTATTAAAAGTGCAAATTTATAAAAATGGTCTCAATTTCATTTTAAAAAGAGTCATTAATAAATTTCTGTTATTTGCAATCAAGGTTTGGGCTCCTTGAAAATCCTAGGGTAGCCTTTCGTCGTACTTTTCTTTAGCTTGCTCCTTGTGTTTGTGTTGTGCTCAGACGCCGCTGCTTTTTGCTGCATTGCATTAACACAGATAAAGTTCCTTGATACATAATTTCCATGCATACAGAAGTGTCTCCCGGCACATGTGGCAAATCCCTCGACATCCGGCCGTGCTCCGCCCCCGTTGGCCCCTCCTGCCCCTTGGCCCCTCCTGTTCTTTGGCAAACTGTGCCAACTTGCAAATGGCGACAAGATGCTGGCTGGCAAAAGTTTTTTCCTTCTGCTCGGTCCGTTCAAACGGCCAAAAGGAGAAGTACAAACAAAAGTATTACGAGCGTGAGGGCTAAACGTTGCCAAATGTTGAAGCCTTCCTGTAGAACTCTACCCCCCTTGTGGCCCACAACCACCAAGCCCTCGAGCGCCTTAAAATATGCAAATGCATTTGCAAGCGTAAAATAAACAGGCGCAGTCTAAAATTATAATCCCCTTGTTTGCTTCCTGACACACTGAGAAAAAATGCATTTGGAAAGATTAAAGTAAAAAGGAATAAAATGAAAGTAATTATATTTAATCTAGTGAATGAATTCCATTTGATTTCATTTAATTTTAAAAAGTGTTAAAATCTTAAATATATGCCATTGCTCTTCGTCTTATATTGTTTTATTTTCTGTGTGAGTCCAAAAGTTTCTGGTTCTTCTTCTTGAATATATTATAAAATGGGTCATATCTTTCTTTGTAGTTTTATAAGAATTATTAAGAACATGGTTCTATTTAAGGCTGCAACTTTTTTGGAGATTTTATGCAACATACATTTTACAAAAAACTCTTTGGTGTTTTTGGAATAAATTCACATTTACTCATTTCTTTTTCTAAAAGTCTTGCTTTCTAAATGATGTATTTTTTTAAATACCTGACAAATACCTGACTTTTGAAATAAAAAACTGATATAGGAAGAATTAGATAATAGTCAAAATTAAAATTTATATTTTTCTCAATTTATTTACAACAGATCACCAACGTTGAGACCCAGTACATACGCACTGTAGATAATCTGATTGTCTCGCGTATTGCGCTAAAGTTGCAGCTGCAAGGAGTGCACTTCTCCAGCGTGAATCCGGCCATCTACAACAGCATTTACGGCATGAACTCGGTGTACGGGCATGGGGGACCGGTTTATTCGCCAAATCCGAATGCGGGCGGATTACTTCTGCGCTGCTCGGCACAAATCGGGGATCTGTACCAGGAGTACAAGGAAATCGAGCTGGGCACACCGCAAAAGGATCCGATACCGGCACGTGGTGAGTGAGCAATGGCCGCTGCCGCATGGCAGCTGCGTCCGATCCAGATCCAACTGACTTCCGTTTCCGGTTCTTTCTTTTCACCATTCCGCGTGCAGTTACCCTCTCCTCCGAATCGAGCCTGAAGAACTTTTTCAGCTCGTATTTCTCGACTTCATCGGCATCGCCGGCTACGCGACTCTGGCCCGGCGTCTATGTGGCGCCCCTTGTGCTGGCCCTGATGGCGGTCTTATTCCGGCTAATTGAGGTGGCATCTGAGACCGATACCGAGACGGACAGTGGAGGCGGCACGGAGCCCAGCCAAGGACCCCCGAGGACACATTCCAGGGAGCAGCCAGCTCCTCCTCTGTCCAGCTGCAGCGCCTCCAAGGCGTCGAGACAGCCACTGGCCTGGCCAGAATCGAGGACAGAGACCCTGGCCTAGGCGTGTGTTACCAGTTACCAGTTAGTTAAAGCCCTAAGTAATGCAAAGTGTATTTGGGGAGGTTCCCAGCCCCGAGGAACTGATGTGGTTGTCAAGAGATGAATCCCAAACTTGTATCTAACGAGGCTATGAAATGGTTTATCGCTTAAAATTTTAATATATACTCAAAGTCATTCTAGTGGTGATAAGCCATTTCTTATCTTTATTTACCTCTGCAGGTACCATAGTCTGGGACTTACTCTTTGATACTCCATCACTTGAACAGTGCTGGGAAAACCCTGGGTTCTGTGTAGTTCAAGGATCTTATTTTGATGACTGCTTTTCATGTTAATTTCCCTTTGTTCCCCAAAAGCCACACTCTGAGATGTGGTGTATACTAGCGAGCTAAAAGAAATCGATTAACATAAAACCAAACCAAAAATGAAAACAAATTAAGGTTAAGCAAAAAACATTTATAAACTAGCATAGTTGTAACGAGAAAAAACATGAAGTTGGACAGCAGAGGAGCGAACGAGTTTAAGACCTATAAAACAGGACATACACAATTCAAATATAAATGTTTACACGAAACAAGAATCCAAAAAGGTTAAGAAACACGTAAATATGCTAAGTACATCAAATTACTGATTCTACTTTAAATGTGCAAAATACCAGAAAGTTAAGCAGCGGAGACATAATAATAATGTGAGCGAAACCAAAACCATAATAAACCGAGAAATCAAAGGTATGTGTTCGAAGGAGGCGGAAAATGTGTGTAAAATATATTTAAAGTAAAATATTAAATTAATTTTAATTTAAAGTAAATAAATCAAAGCCTTGTATGGGCATATTGTAAATGGTGGTGAAATTAAATAAAAATGTGTGTTAATTTTAAACCCCAGCGAGTATTAATTCTTTATTAAACAAAGGTAAGTTGTAAGCTAAAAATATTTTCGTAATTATTTAAATATAAAATCCAGACAACAAAGATTTTCGTAACCTTTTCCCAGAAGCTTCCCTTTATATTTAGCCTGGCCACTGACCCATTGAATTTTCCAATTCAACAAATTTTCACTGTTGATTTTTGGCGTTAAGAAATTTTACTCAACATTTTCGCAACAAAGGAGAGCTCTTCCTTTTTTTTCTTTTGCTGTTGGAAAAACCACCCTTTCTGGTTATTGTCTGCATTTAGTTTGCCTGCCAAAGTGTGAAAAAACTTGCCGTTACGCAGCGGAATATCTGAAAGAAATATAATAGAAGGAATCTAGTACAATGCAATGCATGCACCCCTTCCGCTTTTTCTTCGCTCTTCCTTCGTTTTTTTCTTGTCGTTTCCGTTCTGCATGCGGATTTTGTATTATATTTTGTGTTTCCTAGTTTCCCAACCCACTTTCCCTCGGACGCTTTTCCGAAATTATTGAAGCGCGCTTTGTTATTTCTTTTCAATTGAGGCCGAGAGGAGTCGTTTCTTTAGCATTTCCAAAGGGGCACTCACCTCCCACTGCCTGTTATCGCAAATAATTGTAGTTTTATATACATACATTTGAATGTACATAAGGATCCTATCCTCTTCGTGCTTTTTTTACCTTCTCTCCAGTTGAAAACGTACGTCTGCATGGCGGGCCAAAAATCTAAATTGTGCGTGATTTTGCATAGAAAATATTTCTGCAGAATACAGAAAAATATATTCGCATTCTGCAATCGTTTGCCCAGCGTCTGGAAAGTTCTGTTTTGTGTATTTAAATTAAATTGATAACAAACAAGCTCCAAAATAATGGGCAACCACTTTTGATTTCATAGCAACTGAGTGAATCAAAATACAAAACTTAAGCTATGCGGTTTTGTGTCGGTTGCAAATGCGAAGAATCTCTGATTTCGATGTGGAATCATCCACAAAGAAAACGAATTTATGTAGTTTTTTATATGTTTAAATCCAAATGATTTCTCATAACAAAAAATGAAAGTTAGGGCAGAATATTATTTGGCAGACGGAGAAGAACAAGTGAAGTTAAGGGAAAAGTATGGATTGCTGTTTCTTCTCAGAAATTTCAATGTAAAAACATTTTATTTGAAATATTTATATTGAAATAAATATAACAAGAGGACTTTAATAGAGAAAACTCCTCGAATGAATTAAAAACTGTTGTTTATCTATTAATATCCCATATTTTTAAGACTTCTGTACCGCAAATAAGTCCCGAATTTGTAGTCGTTAATTCTAAACCACGCATCTGTCAATTAGGACGCATGCTCACTCACCGCAACAAGATCCTTCAATTATTCGCTCAACATTTCCCACGCATGTTGCTCGACACAAGCACTCGAACATCAACATTCACATCCGCATCCGCTCTGATTTCAAATGGTGGCTTTCGCCGGGGCCAATTAGGTACTTTATTCCATTGGCAGGACACGGATAGGGACACGGACACGGCCCAGTATTTTTGTTCCCGGAATGGAACAGGGACAGTAGCGGAAATGCAGCGAAATGATGCAGTGCCTGCTAATTGAAGTCAACTAATTTGCATTGCAGATGGCAGCGACATGGAAAAGGCATGCACATGTCCAGTGTCCCACGTCCTGCGTCCTGCGTCGTGTGTTCAATGTTTGGTGTTCAGTATACGCTGTTCGCAGCTCGGATATTGGACCACTGCTTATTTACGTGCAATTAGACGGCGGCGAGTACGTGTCCTGCAAAAAATACGCAACGGCCACCGAAGAGTGCACGAAATTGAGTTTGACAGACCGCAGAGCACAATTAAAATCAATTAGCTGCGCGCATCGAATTACAAATTGATTTATTTATGATGTTTCCATACCCGCCGCAATCGCCGCTCTGGTTGGAGGTTATACTGATTGTCATCGGCAGTGGTGGTGGTGGCCCGTCTCTGTTTGCCTTTCTCACGATATCCTGGGGGATCCCGGGCAATCCCCCTGACCTGCGTGTCGCAGGATGTCAAGTGTGCATTTCAAATGGCCAACTAACGCTGTCCTCGTGTCATCGCATCACCGTCAGCCTGGAAGCCAAGTCCCCGCCTGAATCCAAGTCCCCGCACTCCAGATCCTCAGCTCTCTCTCCTGCACTCCTCTTGCAGACCCGACGAGCAGCGTAAATTGATTCCATTGATTCCCCTCAAATTTATAGTTAGCGCCCCGGGGAGTTGGCACTTGACTTTCGGAGCAGAGAGGAGCGTGCACTTTATCCACGGATAAATGCCAATCAGTTGCAATAGAAATGTTATGTTGAAAATGATTTGTTTAAAGGGTTTTATTTTGTGTTCATCATCTATGAATTGTGGTAATTAAGAGGTTCCTCTTTTAAGTTATTTACCAGATCCACAGCTTGACTCAGGAACTTTAAGAAGAAAAACTGCCATGGATGGATGTTCGATGTTTCCTCCAATGTTTGTTCTCTTGAAAAGCGTTTAATTTCCACGACCAGAGCGACGTGCTGCCGAAGCGTGATTAACGAAAATGTGCGTTAATTGTGCATGAGTGCACTGATTAATAGAGCAAGGACTCGGTCTCGGACTCGGACTCGCAATCGGAATCCGAATCAGAATCGAACCGCATTAAAGCTGCCGCCGAGCAAATTTGCAATCACTTAAAGCAAAACGCAAATGAGGCAGGACGAGTGCACAATAAATAATGACAATGCAGCGACGATAAGCGATGTGGTCCAGTCTTTTGAATTTTATCCTGGGGGCTCTGGGGAGATTTGACACGCCTCGAACTCATTTAAATTGACAGAGAATCAGAAATACAGATGGAATGGAGATGTATGTATGTACAGAGAGAGAGCTTGGCCTGTTGGCCCTGTTTTTATCACAAATATTCTCATTTGAGTAAAGTGCACAATGCAAATAAATAAATGCGAAGCCCAACTCCCACATCTGTCTCTTCCAGCGGCAGATGTGACACTTTTCGCATAACTGCAAATGGGGGAAATGCGGGACCTCAATGCCAGATGGACGGTTTCATTTGCCATTGTTTGCTCCACGACAGTTGCCACTGGACACTGGACACGCACTGGCCACTGGACAATTTACAATGGACAGGGGACATGAAGACTTATTAAGAAAAGTGTTGCTGCCTCATGAATAAACAGTGCAATGAGATGTGATGCCTTCGCACGGACTGAAAGCCAGTTGTAGTTGGCAATTCCTTGAGTGCCGCTCACAATGCCTCCCATAAGGAGAGCTAAGGAAACGGAAACGGAGAGGAGAGGAGTGGCCAGCAAGGGTCCTGCGGAAGTGCAGCAGCTGACAAAATGAAGAAGACGTCAGTCTCTCAAGAATCTCAGAATCGGAGCACTTATCGATCCATATACCATATGGATATGGAAAATGCAGCAGGACATAAATTAATACCTCGTTATAATTTTAAAGAGTAAAAGAGAGTTTTTAAAATACTTGTTCTGAATATAATGTAATTATAGTACCACCCATAAACTTAGACAATTTCTTGGATCCGCCCTGGACAGCGCCTAACTAAATTTCAGGCCTTGGAAAAAGGGTTCATTAAATTAACATTTAACATTTTAGATTCCTGGGAACCTGGAGCTGGAGCTGGCTCTGAAAACTTTTGCCGGACCTGCCTCGTTTATGCAAAGCGTCGTCGCCTTATTGAATTTGCACTAAGCAACTTTTGCTGTCCCCGGACAAGTGCTCCAAATGAGTGCAGAAAAGTTTGACTAACGTCCAGAACTTGGCAGCGGGTCTGACAGTGGTCAATGATCTGCGAGCACTGGGGAGCGAGCACACACGAAACAGAATGGGATTCCAAGTAGGAGCGGTCATTATGTACATACAAATATATATCTGGTATATGCCATGTGCCGGGAGGATACTTGGACACGCGCACGCCTTCGTGTAATAAACTTCAAAAAATAATTTCGGCAACGTCTACGACAACTAAAACTTGACACTTTGCAAAGAAAGTTTCTGTGGCCAGAGTGTTGTGTCCTCTCCGCCGCCCTCAAATAAGGAAAATGGAAAGCTGGGGCAGAAGAAGGAAGTTGGGAAGCCTCGAGTGTGGCGTGGGCAGTGACAGCTTAATTTAATTTGCGCACAAATTTCCAAACTTGTGAGTTATCGAAATTTTCACATAGTTGTTGCTGCCGACCCGGCCATAATGAATTATGCAGCAGGAGATGCACTCAAGAAAAAATTGGTAATACTTTAATAGGAAAAGATAGATGAAAAGATCATATGTGTCTTTATATAATATTTTAGAGAGGCTTCAGAGAAATAACTACAACTTTTTTAAAAATTATAGTTGCAAGGGATTTAGAGAGTTTCGAGTATCTCTTTATATATGTTTAATTTAATAAATTCACAAATACTTCTAGATATTTTCACAGTTCTGAATTTATCATTAAAAAGGCTTCTGAAACTTTAATTTCCAATGGTTCAAAAGTTCATTATGACTTAAGCCTTACATTTTTAGCGATATCTTTGACTATAGCTCAGTTTTTACTGCCAGTGCAGTTGAGCATAAGTGTTTCAAAGTTTCCAAATAATTAAATTTTGAAGACAACATCCGAGAAATCCAGAATTTGCCTGCTTAAAAATCCAATTACTGGGGACAGTAGTCTCGCTGCCAATGCCAATCATCATAAAGCAATGCGTGGAGCATTTTCAAGTCCCCACGCCCATCAAATCAGATCGAATTAAGCCGTAGAGAGCAGATACGAGTTCGCACGAGTCGCCAGACAACAAGAAAACTTTTAATCCATATTAAATGAACTTTTCTGCACAATTTTCATCAAATTTATTTTGTATTTATTTACACTTTTGTTTGGTTTTTCATTCGCTGTGCCACCCACACACAAACACTGTGTGTAAGAACAATGAGGACGAGAAACTT